CAATATTTATACCAAGTCGTTAAAGCTCGCCGCGCCGCTTCTCGCGCGCCAAAAATGATTTTCCCGCGTGATGATGTTAAAATATTTAGTTGTTCGCCGCGTGATGCTTTTTTATTTCGACAATTTCGCAACCTACATATTCGGAACCATCGAATCGAGAATCGAAATATACATATTACGCTTCTTGCGGGAGAGACGCCCGTAATATACAACAACGCGCAAGGTTGCGAAATATTCGCTTGGTGGCGATTGAACCGATAAAAAGAGGTAGAAAAAAAAAAAAAAAAACAAAGACACAAAAGTAAAAACAAAACACGAGAATAAAAACATGAGAGCGCCACTCGACAAAGGGTCAATCCAAAGTACCACTTGTGCGTCCCGAATCGATCTCATTTTCAACGCTTCCTGATGAAATACATTGCGATATTTGTCACTTTTCCTCCCTCTTGTTTCTCTTTCTCTTGTAATAGCGGGGAACATTCAATATATATATATATACGGTGCGCTTGCTCTTCAGAAAATGTCGGAGAACGCAGTCGTTGACTATACATGCAATATGCAACAAGTATCTTTGTGTAAATCGGATACGCGATACTCTTTCGAGAGTTAGATGTGCGCAAATACTTTACACAAATCATGGTCTCTTTTAATAATAATTACGGTGTTCGCGCGTATCTTTCCAAGCGCACGCACATTCATTCGGTGGTGTGTGTGTATACGCGAGGGGGGTTGCGTATATGCGTATAAATCAACTCACCAGCTGTTTGCGAATAAAGCATTGTCGTTTTTACGGAGAAAAAAGAAACACTCCGCGAGGTCGCATGCGTCCTCGAGAGACAATCGCGTTCCTCGACCCTGCGGAAATGAGGCTAACCGAGCGGTGCGACCTCCGGGACAAAACCTCCGGGGAAGATGGCGGGGGTTGATCGCCGCACGCGAGGGTTAGGAGGGTTAGGTTAGGTCAGGTTGTACCGCTCTGGACCGGGGTCCAGAAAGAACGCACGAGATACGCATTGTTTTCAAGAGTCAAAACTCTCTAAAAGAGAACAGGATCTTACTCGTGAGAAAAAAAAACAAAGAAAAAAATCGCGGTTTCTCTTTTTCCGTTCTCGCGCGAAAATTGCGCGGAGAGACCTGTGCTATCGAACGCGAGCATCGCCGGACTCTCAGGTCGATAGCAATGGCGCCGCCGAACATGCAGGCGGAAAATCAATCTCGTGTACAACACACACGACGTGTGTTTTGACGTGCCCACTCTCCGCTTCTCCTCTCGTTGTTTTTACGAGAAGACAAGCTTCAGAGACAACGGGCGAAGTATTCGGGAGCGCAAACTTAGAGCGAAACGAGCAGTAAAATTCGATTTTTTGTGCGAACACGTCGGTCGCTTTTGCACAAAAACTTTTACAACGTTAACGAAATCTTTGCAGATAAAATTCATGGAAAACTACAGCACAGATCTCTGAACTACCGCGCGAGAATAATTGCGGCGCGCAATATTGGAGTAGGTGGAATAGAATAAAAAAAAAAAAAAGGGTGTGAAATAGTGCGAAAAAAAAGATAGAAGAGGCGCGCGAGCGACAACGACGTTACCGACGGAGACGGCCGGAAAAGACGGAGCCGCGAAACACGCACATACGCACTCAATGTGCATATATATACATATATATATATACATATATGCGTATACATATATATATGTATACATACGCACTCGCACGCGTGTTTAAGGTGAGCAAAGTCGCGCGTATTCATATTCATGCGCGGCCGAATGACAAGCACGCGGTTTCGTCGCGGAATTGTTCACATTCCGTCAAAGAGCGGCCGCGTTCCGTCGTCGGCGCTCGCGCGCGATTTTACTTTTATATTGCGGGATTGGGCTTACTTTTGATCACTCGGTCCGTCGTGGAGAGTTTCTGCGAGTTGTTGGAAGTCATGCTGTATATATCAGAATGCAAATGACGAGATTCGGACACTTTTTTTTCTCTCTCTTTCTTTCTCTCACTCTTTCGTTTTTTCTTCTCTTATTCTCTTAAGGCTCGGCAGCAGAATCGGCTCCTCGCGTTGTCCTCCGTTCGAGAGGCTCGTGTGTTCCACCGTGTCACTCCGCCCACACCGCTTCTTTTCCCGTTTTCTTCTTCTCCTCTCTATCACTGTTACGTATATTTTTTTTTTCGTTATTTCTTTTTCTCCTTTTCCTCCTCCTCCTCCACCTCCTCCTTCTCCTCTCCTCGTCCTCCTTCACTTCCTCCCTGTTTTCGCGTGTTAACCCGCGCGAGATAGCGGGGTTTACCTCCCGCGTATACGGAGGGGTTGGATAGAAGGAGAGGGCGGTATTTTCACCTCGAGAGCTCGGCGCGGTCGCCGCACACGCACACACACACACGGTACACACACGCGCGCACGGAAATACACCGCCGGGAGGGAGAAAGCGGACGTGTGGATGGCAGGGACGAGGGGGAGGGTGACGGAGAAGTGACGGAAGTTATCGCACGGAGCGGCACATCGGTGCCTAGGAATTGTTCATGGGTGTTCTTGACGGAGCCCCACCGGGTAATAAAAAGGGGTGAACGTCTGCTTTTCTTTCGGGACGATTTACGTTCTCCCTCGTCTCCTTCTCAGGGCGGTCCCCTCCTCGCACCCTGGGGTGTAGGCGCGACCGTGTGCAACTCGCACGCGAGAATATCGACGAGCGGTGCGCAGAGAGAATCCCCCGTCGGATTGACGTGAAGGCTCGTTCACTACGGAATCGCTGGACCACGCGCGAGCCGCACGAAACGTCGGCGGCGGCGACGATGGCCGATTTAAATGGCGAAAGGCGATAACTCTCAGTTGACAGAAGTATGACGAGCGAACAGACGGGTTGTAAAATATATAAATCTTCCTCGCGAGAACGCGACACCACCGAACCGCGATTACGGACAAGTAGTTCGCAAACGAGGTCGGTGACGATCGCAACAGCGCCGACGACGACGACGACAACGACAGCGACGGCGATGACGACGGCGATGAGAACGACGTGGAGACACGACGAAAACGGCGACGGCGGCGGCGGCGGCGGCAGCGGCAGCCGCGAAAACGACGTGGACCAAGACAACACCGCAGCGACACGAAGCACAGTGACACGAAACCGTGACACCGACACACACGGTCGAGACACCACCGCCGCTAAATTTTATCTACAAGATGTCTGTCTCTCTCTCTGCTTCTCCGCGGCGCGCACACTGACGGCTCCTCCGCGGACAGGAGACAGCCGCGCAGCTCTTTACGCGCAGCAATCATTCGAGACAGCTGATTGGCCGCACCGCCACCAGCTGTCGCCACTAGCTGCCGCCACCCTCGCCAGCCGTCGATACTCGAACAGTAGAGTAACGAAGGCGCCATCTTTTAGACGCGTTTAAAAACGACAATTTATCTTTTCTGCGAATACGGTTCTAATCTGTGTTAACGTTTGGAGGATTATAATTTAAATGGCTCACATATATGATTCGAATCTTTGTTAAATTTATTTAATATATATGTATATGGCTATGGTTTAAAAATTTACTGAAAATATATATAAGTAACGGAAATTATAAATTTGTTTTTAGCAGTTTAAAAGTTTTTTTAAAACTTCATGTTTCTCCTTAATTAAAAAGTTCTTTCAACTTTATAAATTTTTACCTTGCTTATAAATATTTTTTTTTAATATTTGATGACAATAAAGAACGTGACTCTCTAAGTGTGTCACTATGTAATAAACTGAAAATCCCGTATGTGACTTTTATGTAATTTATAGGAAGTGACGGACTCTGATGGTGAGTTGCGTCGTCTCTGTTCTCCTGTATCTTATCTGACTCGCGGTAAGCCAACTACTTTTATCATTAACTTAAAAACTAAACTTTAGACAAAGTTTTATAAGATAAAAAATTGTTTCAGAATTTGGTCAGGATTGTGTATTTTCACAATACACAAAATAGAAGTTAAAATAAGATAAAAAGTTTATTTTGAATCATTCTGTATAGATTTGTACTTCCTTTGATACTGTTTCAGTCATTGCAGTATCTGGAAGCGGGGGCGTGAAGGTGAGGATAAGTGCTATCACAAGGAAGTATAATTTAACATCGACAGTTACTCTTGCTCGCTTTTACTTTTTCATCCTTTTTCTCCCTACTCTTTTTCTTTATAAATTTACATAAAAATGCTGTGTTTATGGTTGGATTTGTTGTCTTGTTTGCAATCGTAATACTTGTTATTCGTAGATAATAATCAAGATAAGAAAACAGAGATTATAATGTACAATTCAATCGTGCGCAATATATCAGATAAGGGTTTATTTAAAAAATATTTACCATTATATTGTAATATAAATATATATTATTTATAAATGCAATGATATTTTATCAAATTTATATACAAAATACTTAAAAAAAGGGTAAAATATTTTAAGAAGATTTAAGATATCTCAAAATAAATCGGAAGTTTTAAATAAACACAGGTTCGCAAATGAACCGTTTTTGAGATATTTTTTTTCTTTTTTTTATTACAATTATATATTTTTATCATAATTCATGCAAAAAATAACACAGTTGGTGTTTGGCCTAGAATCCGAAAAGGCATGAAAGAGAATTATTTTGAATATCTTTTTTCTAATAAGGTAAGACAAGATATCAGCTGTGTTATTTTTTGCGTAAATTATAATAAAAATATTAAAAATACGAAAAAATAAAAATAAACATATCAAAACCAAAAAAAAAAAAAAAATTACCAATCTATGTTTATTAAGACTTTCGATTTATTTTGAGATGTACTAAATTTTTTTTAAATATTTTATTCTAGTTTTGTAAACACTGAAGTATACAAATAAGAATAAAATTAATTACACAGAGAATCTCTTTGCAAAATGTATTACATCATTCTGACTTTTGACATTTTGTCGACGCAAACGCGGTACTTCTTCAATATCATCTTGTTTAATCAAGCGGACGGTTAGATTTTTTAACATTAGTAAACCCACATTCGATCGTTCGATAAATGATTGATAGAGAAATTTCGAAGCGATTCGTCTTTGAAGCAACATTCGCTGACGGATGGATGCTCGTGTTCGTTAAGTGACACGACATGTTGTTATCAAAAGTTCTTTCATTTCTTTCTCTCTGAGCTGTGTACAAGCCAAACTGGCGTAAACAGCCGACAAAGTCGGTGTTTGCGCCGTCTCTCGTGCCTGCTAACGAGATATTTAGTCCAGTCTGTCATCTGGTCGGGGCGTGCGTTTTCACTAAAATGAACGGAATCGTACATTACGCTCTAGTAGCCTTCTGGGGAAAGTCCGGTTCCAGAATTATCGCAGATTATCCTGCGGATAAGGATTATCGCGCCATTGCTCTTGGTATTATTAACAGTCTGAAGACAATCGAAGATGACAGAATCAGCGTCAGTCAGGGCAAGTAAGATCTTGTATTCGCATACACTCACATATGGCTTGTATATGTAAATGTATATATTAATATATGTATATATATATATTAATATACATATTATAATATAAATAATATATTTTATTATAATATATCATAATGTGTATATATATTTAATGTACCTAACCATAATTCAAAATAACTATAAACCATATGTACATTTTGCGTACGAATTTGAGAATTACGCGTTATTGTAAAAACGTGATAATATGTGACCAAATGAATCTAAATTTATATTCAACAAAAATACCTAGATTCAGCAAATCGTAGTTGTTTTTCATTTAAAGTGTTGATTTATATGGAAAATATAAGATACATTATATATGAACAAGTCACAAGCAAGTTCTTGTTATGACACTCGCTAAAGTCGTTAAAGGAGTGTAATAGGTCGTGGATTAACGCGCGATAAGATTATATATATATGTATATGTGTATACAGAGTGTCTGAAAAATTTTGACCAAGCTAAAAGTTTGAAGAGAGATTTGATTAATCTGAATGAAAAAATTACGTACTATTTTGCAAAATTTGCAGTAGTTTTATTAAATTTTATTAATGAATACATGTGTTACACTTGTAACTAATGAGCGCGATGATGATCCGGACTTTGTAGGCGTGTATGATTTTTAGTTGTCAATATCAGCTGATCGCAAGAAGCTACGTCATGCGCAGCTTGCTTTGCCACTTGTTTTTAGGAGATATTGCACGAAATAAACCATTTTTCTTTACAATTGAAAATCATCACACGTCTACGAAGTTTTTGCTTCTCACGCGTTTATTGGTTTCTTTGACATTTGTTACTTAAATAATTACTCAATAAATATTGCAATTTTGCAAAAAATGACAAATGACTTTTCTGTTTAGATTGACTCGATCTACCTTCATACTTTGGCTTGATCAAAGTTTTTCGGACATCCTATATATACAGGATAAGGCAATAACTTCGTCCATATGGAATATCTCTGCTACTTTTAAAGATATAAAAATATTGTAAGTACCTTAATAATTACATTAAAGTTGTATGGTCATAATATGTTAGTAATGATCAAAGAGAAGATTATAATATGTTAATAATAATCTTTCTGTTAGTGGAGTAGCATGTCATCGAAAAAAGATGGGGGTGATCTTGAAATCTTCGAAGTGTCTTCACTCACATAAACACTATTATACTAGCATATTATGACTCTCTTGATACCAGACCAACTTTAACGTAATTATTAACATAATATTTCTAAAAATAGCAAAAATATTTGAAGACAAAGTTATTGCCTCATCTTGTAGATGTTTTATCAAGCTATTATATATATAGTGTGTGTTATTATAACCACTATGTCAATGTTAAGGTTCAAGATTTTCTTAGGTATACGGTGCACGTGTTGCTCGGAGAACTTCATTATGCGTGTCTGACATCGAGATCGGATTGTCCGTCGTCAGCGATTTGGCTAGAATCATGCTCTCAGATATTTTTGCAAAGATTGCGGAGCGTTTACAGGGAAGTGCCAATACTAGCGGATCTATCGAGAGATTTGACCCACTTTGCAGCGGCTGATCTTTCAAAACCGTTGAAAAAGTTGATAGTAAGTTGATAGTACGATTTGAATTAGTAGCGTATGGGAAAGAATAATGTGCAAAACACTCATCTTGGTAATATACACGGGGGACGTCTGAACAATTTTTACACATTCAAAATGTGAAGATAAATTGGGACAATCTAAAGAGAGAAAGGTCATTATTTTGTAAAATTCACCATAATTTTTGAGTTAATGAGCAACGTGTAACGCAATTTCTCTGCAATAAGCAGATTTTCACGGCGATACAACTGAAAATTATACGCAGAGTGCGAATCTTCGCTCTTCTTGCGCTTATTGAGTCACATTTATTACTTAAACTCTTTGCACTATAACAACGTGTGAGAGACGTGATGTTTTCTAGACTCAAAATGAGAACCACGTATCAGACTCGTGATTTTAAGGTCTAGAGATAAGAAATAGGAAAAAACCGAGTGAAACGCCAACGCGCGAGCAACTTTCTCGACAGTGGCACATATCGTCGCCACTTAAATCGTAATGCAAAAGGATTGTCTGCTCAAAAAATAAATATTGCAAATTTTTGCAAACCGGCAAATGACTCTTTTGTTCAGATTGATCCAATCTATCTTTACACTTCGGTTATGTCAAAATTTTTCAGACGCTCTGGATATACTCTGGGATATTTGTAAAACTACGTAGCATTATGTACGCGTACGTGTTATAAAACATAATTGATATTATTTCAGAAAGAATATAATCAAGATATCGATCGCCAAAATGTCAATCCTAGAAGTTTGATACCGAAGCTGGAAGAAGAATTGGGTGAAGTGCGTCGTATATTGATGGACGCGGTTCAGAAGCTGATTGATAGAGGCGAGAAAATGGACGAACTTGTACGAAAAACGCAGAGTCTCGAAATTTCGGTAACTAGAGTTACACACTTTTTTTTTTTTTTTTTGTATTAAATAGCGACGAACTAATATACACACCACATATATGAAGTGTCGAACACGCGAAATGGTCAATCAATCGAATTATAACAATGTATAAAAATCAAAATTAACTTTACTGTTAATATGTTATTAGTAATTAATGTTTCGCATTAACGCTAACAATTCACGCAAATTCTTGTTGATATTATAAGCGGATCTTGTTGATGTTATAACTCGTTTAAACACGACTATGTGTTTGCAGCGTCCATATGTATTGTATATGAAAGAGAGTTGTGCGCTAAATAATCATGACAAAAAATAACGAAGGCATACACGGTTTTATTTATAGACAATTATAAAGAATCGCTGAGAATTAATTGCTGTAATCTTGCGTGCCGATTACAAGGGGTCACGACTTAATGGCCTCGAGAAGGCTATGGCAATCACCATTCAATGAGCGTGACATATATTACAGCGAAAATATTTATCTTGCAGTCAAAGGACTTCCATGTGGTATCGAGAGTTCCGCGAAAAAAGAAGAGTGTCCTAGTGGCGACCGGAACAGCGATCTTGATGATAGTATCGACTTCACTTCTAGGAGTTTTGATGTACATAGGTATTTTATAACTTGTTGGTTTTATAACTTTTTTCTGTTTTATGTATCTTTGGCGAAAATATTGTGACATTTGTGTATGTGTGTATGTGCGTGTGTGTGTATATATTATATATGTATGAGAAACAAGTTTAGTATACTCTAAAATGTATGTACAATAAAAGTTTTATTATAAATATTTTTAAATAAAATAATAATATTTTTAAACTAAATTACAACTTTCTTTGAGAGAACCGTCAAGTTATTGTTCACTTACTGCCTACAGAAATAAGTTTTTCTATTATCAAAGTTTCTTTCAAATGGACGTTAATCACGTGACGTTAATTATGCTAACATTCACATCGATTATAAATGTTTAGTATTTATTAATCACGCCCATAATTTCATTTTCGCAGTTTATTTATTCATTAAACATCACCGTTCAAACAATTAGGATAAATAAAAGATAACGTCAACGTTTGCGAGTTAATTCTGTTAAACAAAATGTGATAAAATCCAAACATGATTTGGCCGAGTTGTCATCGAGACATCAACAGTTTAATGCGGTTCGCAAAATTCAGATTAGTCATTATGAAAATGTATTAACGAAAGTATCACGGCAAATAGACAGTAAAAAGTACACATTTGAAGTTTTTTTATCCGCAATTATCTTCGCAAGCTCCATGAGAACGCGAGACGGTTCTTCAACGTTATTGGCGTGGTTATCGCGCCAGGATATTCGTTAGACAATATTTGGTCGTATGCGTTGAGCAAGTACGGAAGAGTTATTATTATGACACGATGGCAACCAGGATTCAAGCTGCGCTTGGAGAGGCTACTGGACGAGAAAAACAAAGATAAATTTCGTTGAATTAAAAACGATGTTGTTGAAAAACATTTACACGAAGAACGAAGAAACTTTGGGAAACATGAAGAAGTACGTTCGCATATAATGTACGTATGTGCAATACGTTATTCGCAATGTTTAATCTTTGCCGCGTTTTATAGATTCAGACAGAAAAAATTAGAATATATGGAAAGTGTAACTGAACAAGAAGCGAAGATGCTTTGGATTTTATTCATCTTGTTTTTTATTTGCATCTTCTCTCTTCTATAGTCTTAAATAAATCTATCATCTATCTACTTCACAATTTAATGTACGAACGTTACGTAAATGTTGTTTTTTTGATATGAAGCTGCATCATTTGTTGAGAACGGGTGTTCCGGGTGTTATTACGAGAATCGACAAAACTTGCTTCACACACACACACATCGAAGAAATGTTGAAATGTTTTGATGAACGGAATCCTCTTGCAAAAAGTGTCAAATTGATCGCAAACCCTCTTTGATGTTTCGCGGCACGTACTTCGAGAAATGCGAGAAAGAGATTCGAGAGTTCGAGATAAGTTTGCAAGAGAGAGGAAAAAGTACCTATTTCTAGAAGCAAAATTGATTTATACATATTTAATCGCAATTACGTGTTACTATGATTTTTAATTAAATAATTATACCGCCTCACTTTTGTAAATAAAGCATATTCCTTTGTCTTGAAAATGACGCAAAATGATTTTTTTTCTATCTAGGTCAACCTTACGAAGAAAAAAATGGAAATGTGAAAAATGAACGTTTGCAGCGTTTGGACTACTCTGCGAAAGTGCAAATGTTTCGGAAGGTGCATGCGCGAAAATTTCGCGCGCGTATCAATGAGCGAATTATTTAAAAAGTTATTAATAAAATAGATTGTGTTAACTGAATCAGCTTCGCTTGATTCACAAACTTGTCCATTAAAAGTTTTCTTCCTTAGGGTTATTGAATAAATCACCAATAGTTACGTTGAACGTATTCAACTTTATTTGCTCACGTTAGGTATTATGAAAATAACATATAATTATAAGATTTCTAGAAAAGAATAACAGAAACGTGTCATACTTTTAGTTAATTACGTGCGGTATTTAGCGTATATTTACAGATCGCTTTTTTTTTTTCAACCAACATTATGTCGACGGATACTGGCGGCACATTGCTACCAATTATACGCAAATGGCTGCTTTTGTGACGACTAATGTTTGTCGATATAGATCTGTTTTCAACATATAGTATATATATTATAAGTCGGAATCTTCGGGTCTAGTACAGACTTTAGGAACAAACAGCAGTTCCGACTTGGTCACGGATTTGTGAGAAAGATCCGGATGTGCTCCCTTGTCGATACTACTCTTCAACTCTAAATTTTTGTTTGACATCGGTCCGCAATGATAATTAAATACTTTCTCCTCTATTATCTTGGCCTTAGTGCCGGGTAGACACTGCGGAACGGGCACGGTAGAAAAGCATATTTGCGTTGCGTTGTACTCGTACCATGTGCGATGTTCAACAAGATCTAATCGGTTTCGATTTAGCGATGTGATACCGCGGCTCCAATTTTTATTCTCTCTTGGAACGCGTCCTGCTTCCATGTCGCTGATAATGTTGCTTCGACGAGTCTGGCGTTGATCGCACGCTGCCAGAGACATTTCAGCTTTCTTTTTATTAAACAAGGCGGGTCCTTGACAGTCTTGGCTGAGAAGAGCGAACGAAGCGACAAATTCCGGTGCGTTCAGTTGGCAGTTTTGTCTTTCTAAATCATTGGCTAATACTCGGTCATTATTGCCGCAGATACCGGTCATTCGATTGAGTAATGCGTTGGATACCTGAAATTTGTTTTATTTCACATATTTTACGCTTTTCACATTAATCTGACAATTTATTAGAATGCTTCGTTGTTGTTTTTACTCACTCGAACTTCAACAGTATTTCCAGTATACGTCAATTCCAATTTATTGTCTTCTGTAACTAATTTCAAAGAAGTAGTTGTACTCCATATACGTAGATGATATCCTACATAACCGCTTGTTCTAGATGTTGAGAGGATCGGGTTTGTACCCAACGATAATAATAATGAGCCACTCTCGTTGCGAAAAGTAAATCTTGCTCCGCTACCACGCCCCAGTACGGTAACAAGTATACCATCGGTATAATTGTCCTTAACTAGGACTACCGGAATTGTTTCAGCAGATTGATCCTCCGTGCTCGCCATTATGTGCCAACATTGTCCCATAAGCGGGCGATAGGACAAATTGTCGAAAGTTACAATTTCCTTCCTGCTTAAACGGCAGGTTGCTGCAAAATAAAACAAAAAATTATATTGTTACAAGAGAGAATTATAATTGTGTATAACATAAAAGTGTAATAACTTATATTATAATGTATATACGTTTATTTCTATTATTATACACAGAAATGTGACATGCTTTAAGAATTTATTATATGTATATATAGAAATAAACATATATATAATAATTTGTATAATATATATGTATATATAACTTACATTGTTCTTGTGCAATCAAACGTGGCAGTGTTTGTTCGTATTGTTTTGGCATAGAGAAAGCAATATTTGTTTTTGGAGTATGTAAAGTGAGATCCATACGTTCTGCATTCAATGGCGTTTTAACTTCTATATCTACAATATTTTCATCAACATTTTTTGGACTAACTATATTAAATGAACTTATATATTGGGAAAGAACGGTCCGATCCATAACGTTTCGGATAACTTTTGTTTCGTTTAGCCGCCGTGAAAACTCATCGTTAAACTTCAATGATAACTTGAGGATATCCTTTTTATTGACGAGTGCCAGGGCCTTTCTGCACAACCGTAAGCCTTTATTGCCTCTCAGTGCCTGTAAACACTGTCGGACTATATTCGAGTTTTGTATTAGTCTTCTCAAATTGTCACTTTGGCTGAGAACTCCTCTCGATTTCAGTTCCATATCTTTGCTCTGGTTTTTGAATCCCACGTTAACAATAAATTTATCGTGCAAATTGTCGAATTGTACTGCTTGTTCCAAGTTTTCTAACGTGACAGGTTTCAATCTTGCCAATCCACTGAAATTACCTTCCAGTTTGACATTCTCATTTTCTGTTTGAGAATTAAAATAGGCAAGGATTCGAGCATCACTGTCTACTTTGCTGTTTGCTAACGCGACAGTAAGGACGTAATTAGTTACCGATTGGTCTTTGTGAACAGGTGTAAGCACACTCAAGTCCAATACTCTAGAAGTAGCAGACTTAATACCCCTTTTAACTTGTGCCAGGAACTGCTGCCTTCTTTTTCTACTATTTAATTTTTTGTCAACGTTTTCGAATTCGATTTCTATTTCGTCCGTATCTTCTTCACTTACATCTTCTTTTGTTACATTTCCTGGTGTTACATCTTCTTGTGTTCCATTACTGTCTTCCTCGTCACTGTTTCGTTTAACATAAACAATTTCAATCAAAATTTTTTGCTCCGAGCTCAAGGACGTTTGCAAGGCAATATTGTAGCGGTCGAAGGAAGGCTTAACCATATTGGTAAGCAAATTCTTAATATTTCTACACGATGCTGCATCTCTTTCCGTAACCAAACTGAATGCGCCTAAATGAATTGCATCTTTTTTTAATTCGCTCGAAAGTTGCATTAAATGCGTGTTCTCGCAAAGAAGAACAGGTTTATAATCGAGAATGTTATATATCGACGTAAAAGGCGTATTAGAAAGCACCAATAACTTGTTATTAGTGTTCATTTGCTGCGATGGGCGTAGTCTTACGCTCACGCGTGTTTCGTCTTTTTCTTGTTTTCTGTCAACGTCGAGTGCGAGTGGTGCAACTAAGCTTACACTGTTATCAATTCCGCAAACGTATTTCTTCTGATCGAAAGGTGTTACAAAGCCAACCTTATACTGTATTTTCGAAGAATATAACAAGTTGATTTTGACGCGTTCTTCAATCACGTCTGAATCACGTCTTACCCCTAAAGCGTTAATTACTGAAGTTGTTGGCCTTTCTATTGTAAATATAAACGGAAAACCGGTCTCAACCGGTAAGCTCAATAGTTCGTCATAGACATCCATACGGATACGATTGTACGGTTTGTTCTCCAGGAAGGTCTCTCTCAACTCTGTAACGTGACAATAAAAATGATTTATTTTAGTGCTTTGTTCTTTTTTGTTTTAGAAAACAAAGTTCTTTTTTATAGATGATATTAAAATATATTTAGAATACTTACTTTTCAGATCAGCATCAAGTCTGGAATCGTTGAAAGAATAGAACAACGATCCAAACATATCTTCCATGTACATAAATCCTTCTAAACGTTTCTCGTCTTTCATCTTTATCTTAAGCTCATGCATTATTTGCTCAAAATCTTGCGACATTGTTTGTCTGTCCATCATTAGTGTTTTCTGTTTTCCGCCTGACATGATTCGTTCCATAAGTTGTCTCATGTCCGACACATCGTAAGCAAATAAGATCGTTTGCATATTTGAACGTAGATTGTAAGGTTCCATGCGAAGATATGCGCTTGAAGGTACGATAGTGTTACCGTTACCTAAGATAGGATTTACGTCTCTTCCAACGAAAAGAGAAGAAACTCTTTCTATTAGAGACGTCCACATTTTTGTGGGTGTTACAGGAATCATATATCTGAGAGCTGTGCGTGCTTTACTCTCAAGACTTTGTTTTCTAGATAATGGTTGTCTATTAGCGACGTTAACAAGACAAGACTTAACGCAAGAGCTTACTTCTCTATTACTATCCATATTGGCGACTTTAACCATGTGCGTCAAGCGGATCATAGATGGATCGGACATAACATAGAAATTAGCTGCAATGCAGCGTACCTCGGGATCTTCTTGTCGATTCAGGTAGAGCTTGAGAGCAACAGTTCTAGATTTCGATGGATTGTATTTGATCACTTCACCCAATACCATAACCATCAATTTACGCAGTTGCTTCGAAACATTTATTTCTAAACCTTTGTCTTCTCTCGAGAAAAGATCGGTATTTCTCGAAGTATCTTTTTCGGAGCTGATCCTTTCTTCTGAGGAATCGCCGGAGAATTTTTTCACACGCATCAATGAGTCTTCTACATATGTGCCTTCCAGATATGGTTCCAAAACTGAGAGTATCATCGGATCAGCGGTATTACCCAAACCTAAGACGAGCGCGTACGCTTGCGAAACGTCGTTATTCTTGAGGGCTTGCAGCAACAATCGGTCCATAACGGAAATATATCGTGAAAGCAGTTTCTTTACGTCTGAATCACTTACGTATATATTACTAGAACGTTTGATAGTTGCTTTTCGTAATAATTTACCGCATACTAATGGCGCGAATTCCCTCAATACATTATTTGAGTTGTTCATCATTTTCTATATAAAAATCAAATCGCACAAATGTTACAATCAATCTTTCAAATAAATTACAATTTATAATCATGAGAGAAATATATGTAGTGACAAATAAAACACTAGAATTCTTCTTCTTTTTTCTTCGTCATTATGTATTGTACATAAAAATGATTATACTTACGCAAACGTTCTCAATAATTTTGTTTGTGACAAAACGCACAGCTTTATCCAGGTCTCTGATCACTATTTCCAATTCCGAGTCCTGCAGTTGTTTTTTCTCTATGGCCTGCATAATGAGAAGAAGAGCAGGTTCGGTTCCAACTTGCGAAAGAGCGTTGTAGAAGACGTTCATGGCGGTTAATTGTGGAGTGACGCCTCTCATGTTATCTTCTTGCAAGTGTTGTTTTAACCTGTTTAACGACTCGACTCCTAAAGTTCTCATCAGCTTTACTACGTGCAAGAATTTTGGCGGCGTAGAGGGTAAGTCCTTATCACTAGATCTGAAATCATCGATCAGGTCTTTTATTATTTCACGAACTTTATTAATTCTCTGCTCGTCTGTAAGTTGTCTTGCTGCGCAGCCTACGTCGAATAGTAGCGAACTTCTTGGGACTTTGTCCATTGACAATTGTATGTCGGAAGAAGACCTGTCTCGATCAGAACGATTAAGCTCCTCAGAAGAAGAAGAAGATGATGATGATGATTTGTCGAATCCACGTAAGACGTACTTCAAATTTTTCAATTTTTTTGAAGAAGATTCCATTAATTTTTGTTGACGTTCCTCCAACGCACCTAACGAATCCATCGAGCATTCGAACGAATACATTAGATCGTTGACTGGCGTCATAAGCTTAGAACTTATTTCCACAGGTCGGCGAATCTCACGTTTCGTTCGTAAAGTTAAATTCGACCTGGTCAAAACCATTCCGAGCCCAGAATTTCTGTCAAGAGAGACGTATATGTTGCTCGTCATCAAGGAAGATTGAATGGTGAACTTCTTCAAACTGCCTGATACAATATTGCGGCTTGTAGACAGTCTCTGTAATAATCACACGATCGCGCTGTTAATTCACCTCGTTGCTCGCAACGGTCTCATTAAAAATATAATTGATACGGAATCCAAATTTATATTTTCAAAATGTGACAGTTTCGTTTTCGAACTTGCTTTTTCATATATATATTTTTTTTTTACAACTATGTAGCACAAACCCTATCTCACTTAGAATAGATAATATATTATCGTAAAAACTTAACTTACCGAAACAACTTTGGCATTCCTGTCCATATTTAAGGATTCAACCTTCAGGTCTCTGCAAACTTGGTAGTTCTTCGTTTTCTTGATATCAATGAGCATTTCATTATTTTTAACAAGTTTTTGATTGGGTACTAATTCTTGATTGAGCTGATCTTCTTCGGACAGAGGCGCAATATCGTACAGAACTTCACAATTGCCGCCAATTGATTGTTCGAAAACTGTATACAGACCGAAAGGCGATCTGGAAGTGGGTATCTGAACGCCTCGTGCCGGTATCGCATTTTCACCCATCGTATCAAGCTGTAGCTGACTCGCAATACTCTTTAGAAGATTCACTTCCCAAATGGGCGTTTGGGGATCAAGTAGCAGTTGTCGGATCATTCCGTGCTTCAGGCGAATCGTAAAATTCTCTCCACGCAAAGGAAGAGTCTGATAATCCAACTTGTTGTCCGAGATAGATTCTATGCCTTCCGGCAGTACTTTATGCACCTGAGCATATTGCGCGTTGGCAAGATTTCCTACCAATGTATCTGAAGATGTTACTTGAAGAGTAAGTATAGCACTTATTACAATTCCAGACGACTGATTTTGTATTTTATCCTCCTGGCCCAAGACCGAAAATGTATGGGTTCGCAGAACATATTTGTACTCCTGTCCTAGTTCCCAAGCAGGTTCCGAATTGATACTTGTAACCGCTCCAACTGTCAAAAAAATTATATTGTATACTGATTTAGTTTGCTCTTTAGCTGAGCTGGACGAACGTATTTTTTTTAGCCAAAAGGAGCTTAAATGAAATATACAGAAATATCGTGTCGTACACAAAAATTTTTAGTAATTGTATGAAACTTTTATTTTAAAAATAATTCAAAAATATTTAAGTCACATAATAAACAATTTTTATAAATGAGATTACATATGAACAAGTCAAATAAAAAAACAAATTTTGTTAAATTATAGAACAATATTATAGAAGAATAATGTTCTCTTTCTTGTTCTTGTTACATAACGTTGTCGAAAATATGAACATTACTTTGAAGTTTTTTTCAATAAAAACTTTTCATATCAAAATTGATGCTTGTATTTGAAAAAAATTAAATTATAATATGTTCGATATAAAAAGTCTATATTTACCGAGCAGTAAGAGACCCAGCAAACCCCACATGATGGTATGTGGTTTACCAGTGCGCCAAATGCAAAATGACAATTTCTTCACGTTGAATCAATTTATATTCACCACCAGCTTGACCTGTCGATGGCCATTTAGCTTCCGAATGAACTTGAAACTGTATCAGTTATACACGCGTGACAAATTTTTTTAGCTTTGCATACGATAGAGAGAGATTATAAAAGTGTCATCCGCAACATAGTTAAGAAAGTAAAAGTAAAACGGGGTCGTGGCATCGAACTTCCGGACAGAACTTTGACTTCGTTTGCGCATGTTATTTGCTTCGCTATTTAATCGAAATACGCGAGCAGATTGCTATTTTTATTTATTTATTTTTTTTTTTGATAAATTGTTTTGATAAAAATAGATTTCAAAGCACAAAAATGTCCGAAAAGTGAAATAAACGTTATTAGAAAGTTCAGGACACACTAGGTTTTGTTTCTATTATAAACCAAGAAACACACATAGTTTTTGATATATATATTTATTTATTTATATTTATTTATTTATTTAGTAGATATAATGTTTATATAATAAATTTTAGATTTACAAAAATAATATATTTATATACTAATAAGCTCTGTTTTCTGTTGGATTCTTTTTGCAAAAGAATCTAACGCAAATATCCTTGTTTCTCATTTTTGAGATGTTTGAGTAACTCTTGAGTGACTCTTGCGCGCATAAACTTTTTAATTTATTATTACATATAAAATAATCTCAATGTATTTCAATATATTGCGTCAGCGTCAATATATATAGTTATAGTCTTTGTTTAAATAAAAATTCAGACATGTCGAAGTCCGGGAGAGACTCGCGTTAATCATACACCCCAAGAAATTGAATTTCTGTTGCGCCCGCGTCGTTAATCTTAGATAATTCTAAATGCATATAATATTTTTTCTCTCTTCGTATATTCTGTCACTTGTGTCATATATGTATTATTTTTTCTAACATGTATTGTTTACAAGATATTTGCTTGAGGAAATTAAAACAAATCAATCTGTACATTGCGACTCCTAAAACGTTATCGATAGAAAAATAACGATTTTATAGTTATGTTAATATATTTCACAAACTTAATGCAATCAAATGTAATATTTATTTGAGTTTTAGTCATTAATATTCATTCATTCATTCATTACTGAAAAAAGACGAAATCGAAAGAATTCGTGATACAGATCATTGATAAATGTTGCAGAAAATATTGAATCTCTGCTACATATCTACTATTCACATGCATGTCTTCCGTTTGTATAACGATTGCAGGCAATGCAATATCATCAGATTGTTTTGAAATATATATATATATATGTATACAGGGTGTAAGTTTCCGTTCTTAGCATTATCACATGAGAGACGAAGAGTCTCACACTAATCAAGTTCTAAAGCTTGCAAATCCCGGTCACATTCTTGTCATTAATCCTGGATAATGATAAGAACGAGAATTTACACACATAATCATATGCGTGCAGGTCCAAGCACACGCAAACACATGCACACAAAAGTCAAAAATGACTTTTATATGACCGTAGAGACAAAATTCAAAATCGTCATCTCTTTTCTCTTTCAAAACCCTATAAAAAAATTGTCTGATTGTGAAACAGCTTTGTCTGCCGAGCTTTTTGAGATATTTGACTAACTAATTTAAAATATCCTGTATATATAGGACACCTTGTATATATATGTATTTTTTTAAAGCATGTTACCGATGAATGAAAATGTGAGATGAATGACGGTGTATGTGTGTGCGCGCGCGCGTGTGTGTGTATACATATATATATAAAAGATAAATAGCGGAAGATATTTGCGGATGTAACAGAAGTTGATTTATTTCAAACGGAAAATAAAAGTTAAAAATATCGAACTTTGGCTCTGGTTGCGAGATATCAATATCAGTCAAAAGAGATGTTTTCTACACTTTCTACTGATAACTACGTAAATTGTAAAATCTTTAAGTGAATAAACACACTTCCGTTGCAATACTTTTAAAGTTATCAAAGACGTGTTTTCTTGTTTCAGATTGCGATAATGATTGATCTTAAAAACTTGCAAGAAAATTTATATCGCTTTTGAATTTTGATGCGATTTCACTGAAATATTAGATGAGATTTTATATGTTGTATAAAATAAGACAACAATGTTTTCTGCCTTTTTAACTGTTGTTCTTACGGTATCTGTTGATGTTAATTTGATTTTAAATAACAGTATATTTTTACATAGAAATTTTGAATAAATGTTCTATGCAAAAAAAATTATAAGAAAAATATAGGAAACAAATTTTGCAGAAGAAAAGATGCACAAAAATAGTAAAATTAATGAATATGGAATTTTATATACAAGATGTCTGTTAGGGTTCAAGAGAAATTTGATCAATCTGACTCAAAAAATCATATATTATTTTAGTTGAAATATTAATTTAAGTGAAAATCAGCTGATCGCAAAAAATGATACTGTATCATGTCTTGCGCAGATCATTTGTTTGCTTCGCCTTTTGCTGTTAGGTTTGCATGAAGTAAGGTCATTTTTCTTTACAACTGAAAGTTATATATAATTACAGTAAAGTGACCAACCGTCGCAAATTAGAAGAAAAAATCCCTAACTCTTTGTCTCACTTTACAATGCGTCCCACAATTTGTCCCAAATTAAAGACATAATTATAAATTGCTTTCTGTTTAGTACATAATTATAATATAATATTAAAAATTAAACGATCAATCTCAACAAATTTTTTTTAAATGTCTCTCCATTTCTTTGCTAAGAGTCGTCTTAGATTAGTGTCTGAATCCTCGTCATCCACGCGTTTACATTTGTTAATTAATTACTCAATAAGTATTGTGAATTTTGCAAAATCGCAAATGACTGTTCAGAGTGACCCATTCTATCTTCACGCTTAGGCTCGGTCAAAATTTTTCAGATACTCTGTATACAGGGTATATAAAAAAGATAGACATGTCGAAATATTTCAGAGAAATTAAGTTTTCGAAAAAAATTGTTTCATATAAAATATATCAGCTCAGCCGCCGCCGCTTTTCAAGAAAGAATTGTTCAATTAGTTCCTCTATTCTATCGTACTGATTCGCATGCGTGCTACTCCGCAAGTATCGTAACTGTCAGATTTAATAATTCGGAAAATATTTTATGAAAAATTATCTTTACTGTTTTGAAAAGCTATCAAAGCCAGCTATAAGAATATGCAATCAAAAATAGGATTTGCATTAAAAAATTTCAAAGTAGTAGTTATGTAGTTGTTATGTCCTTAACAGTACTGGAATACTAACACTGCTATGTAATACACTACTTCAAGTTCTATAATTTTTATGTAAAACATTTTTTCTAAAAATTCAATTTTTTCAGATAGTCCCTAGTCCCGAACTTTTTTACATACACTCTGCTACAAGTATATTATACTGACGACTAATTAATCTAAATTTTGTTTTGTTAAAGGAAACTGGGAGTGTAGTCAAAAAGTTTTTTTTTATAAACATATGTTTTACAATTTATAATTGTAATATATTTTTGCTGAAAAAAAAAAATGAAAATTACTACAGATTCATACAAAGGTAACAAACAGTTGCGAGCTAACCACAAAGGTTGTTATTATATATATTTAAATTGACATAAACACGTTTTGTTGTAAAAACTTATAAATTAATTAGTAAAATTAGTTCAATAAACCGGTTTATAATTTCTCACGGAGTGTAAAATCATAATTATGATATAAATTATATATCATATATAATTTTATATGATTTTTATCTGAGTATAAAACTAATTTTCTAATTTTCATTTATCTTTGTTTTTAATAAGTCAGTAATATACTCACACAAAAAATGCATGACAAAAAGCAAAAACGCAGATGTCTTAAAAGTAATAATACTTTTCACATATAAAAATCTTGCTAGATCCAAATATACATGAAATTTTTATATTTCTAAGATATGTCATTAAGTAGCGCGAACAAATAAAGAATTTTCGTTCTTCACTGATGTGATGCTTTTATCGACCTCTATAGACGAGATTGTTGCTTTAATAATGGTTGTAGCAGTTTCCGGTTCCTGTAACAAGTATTAATAAATTATGAATTAAGCTTTTTTTTAAATTACACGTGCACTGAACAAACTATTTAAAACTGCACATCGTAAAATTGTTTCTATTTTTTGTATATAAATTTACTTGGTAAGAATATTTAATGTAATCGCTTAGATATGTGAAAATCACAGAAGAAGAACTTGATAAGTCCGTTTTTCTCGATTTTCTATTTTTTTGATGTTATTTTGTAGTTAAAATAGAATATTTTAATTGTCCAAAGCGCGAGAGTTGAAAATTCTTGATAAATTCGGAGATATAAGCATCAAACGTGTACAGAGAAATACACGAACGCGTTTAAAACTTTAAAATCGCTCTCTTCTAAAAGTACGAAAATGTGACTTATCAAGTTTTTTTTTGTGGTTTTTATATTCAATTATCGCGCGCGCTACGTATAATACGTAAATTACCTCGTCAAAGTCAATGTCGACTTCTTCGAGAACTTCGTCAAGTACAGACACAAAATGGTTAGCATTCTCGATACTGAAAACCATTGGCGGTTTCAGTTTCAGAACGTTGTTATCAGGCCCGTCACTGCTAACGAGAATCTTCTTCTCTTTCATTCTAGATACTATATGCTGAGCCTCCATGGTCGCCGGTATCTTTTTGATCCTGTCGCGTACTAACTCGATACCCACGAATAATCCAACACCGCGCACATCACCGATGATCTTCCGTCGCTTCGCTAACTTCTTCAGCTCCGCGATCAGATGGCTACCGACCTTCAACGCGTTCTCCGGAAGATTTTCACGTTCGATCACTTCCATCACCGCGTTCGCCACTGCGCAGGATACGGGATTGCCACCGTACTGGAATGAATGAACAGAATGTTATTACGCGGGACGAGTATTTTTTTATTAAATTTTAATGTCGAACCATATGTATAACAACAATTTTCTCGCAAACTAACCGTGTTGAAATATTCGATACCGGTGTTGCAAAAACTGCGCGCGATTTCTGGTGTTGTGACAACGGCCGCGACGGGATGACCGTTGCCCATAGGTTTGCCTATTGTGACTATGTCTGGAATAACGTCCTCGCCGTATAACTGAAACGCCCACATGTGAGTCCCGACTCGTCCGAAACCAACCTGCACTTCATCCGCGATACAAACTCCTCCAGCTTCGCGTACGTGTCTAAATATCAACAACAACTTGTTTTCATATCTTTTTCAAATCTTGTTTGCGTATATAGAATTTAATTCTATTCAAAAATAAATAATGAAGAAATAATTGCTTACTTGTATACGTTCCGAAAATAATTCTGAGGCGGTAGAATCTGTCCGCCGACCGATATGAGACTTTCCGCTATGTAGGCGCAAACACCGCGTCCCTCGGCTTTGATATCCTTGCAAATCTGCTTTACATCCTCGGCGTATTTGACACCGAGATCTTCGCCTACGTAATCGGACGAGCGATATTTTCCGCGATACACATCCGGACAAGGAGCCTAAAGAAAGCAGATCATTAAAATTAGTTATAGAATTTATTGTATAACATATATACAGGGTGTCTGAAAAATGTTGACACAGCCTGCAAGTGTGCAGATAAATAGGGTTAATCTGAACCAAAAAAAGTCATGTACCATTTTGCAAAAATTTTTTAATAGTTATTGAGTGATTAATTAATACATGTGATTCACAATGAGCGCGTGGGAAGCGATAATCCAGATTTGATTTTTAGTTGTGAAAATCAGCTGATCGCAAGAAGCTGTGTCACACGCTACTTGCTACTTGTCTGCTCCGTCTTTTGCTTTCTTAAGAGATTTGCATGAAGTAAGACATTTTTATTCACAACTGAGAATCATGCTTGTAGAGTCCGGACCATTGCTTCCCACGTTCTCGTTGACTTGATCAAAATTTTTCAGAGACATACTGTATGTATATAATTTATTATCTTTTTAAATCAGAAAAAAATAGTTTAAAAAATTGCTTTTAAATATACGATGTCTATTTGAATAGATTTTTTTGAATAGATTTTATCATCAACTCGAGCATTACAATGTTATATTTGTATAATTGTATAAGTGTTAATATTCATTCATATTTATCATTTGTATTGATTCAAGTAATTTCGATAAATAAACAAAAACCACACATTACAATTTTATGTCGTACACGCGATACAGTTTACGAAATATAGTGAGGACACTTTACCACGTGCACCCAGTCTCTCTTGCCGGTACCATTAGGCTTGTTGAATTTAAACGGCGAGATATCGATCATTGTGGTCAGATGTCCGTGATAAGCGCTAAAATCAGAAAGACGAACGTTTAAAACCTTCTTTCGCGGGTTCGCGTTGTTCAAAACTTAAAAGAGACTCCCGTCTAAAAGCCCTGCCTGACTACAAAGTAGCTCTCTCTCTCTCTCTCTCTCTAAGAAACATTGTTTGTTATCAGTTCATTTATTAAAAGAAACGCAACAGTTCCTGAAATTGTAATTTTTAGTTCTTCCTCATTGTTCGCATCGAAGACGATCAATGACATCCATCGTGGTTACGATACTCGCGCGTGTCCAAAGAGTTGCCAGGGGGGCTATTTGTAGACGTGACAATAGTAATTTGTTAATTCGTGCGTTAATCGATGCCCTGAGTCTATCAATGATAAAAAAAAAAACAAAGCGTACGCAATTACGTATAATTAATTGTACAATTAATAATATTAATATTTTATTAATTGTGTAATCACAATATAGTTAATATTATTAATATGCATTTTTTATATCATTGTCACTTTCTTGTTTATGTTAATTAATCGTAATTCGCGGAATCGGTACAAAATGCGCTTAATAAGAATATTAAGCACACTTTAATAAAAGTTTAATTTAGCACACAATTGATAACACGCACAACGCTTTGTCTAATTCATGACATTTCTATCGAACTATTGTCTAGCGTTTATCACTCTGTCTAGTTCTCTTTTTCGCTTTCTTTCTTCTCTGTCTCTCTGGATAAGTCCAGTCCGTTATTCAGGCGGCATCATTTCTGTCGTTAGGGAGGGAAAGAAAATAAAATCTAGTTTTGTGTGTATATCATACGTCGTCTTAAGACTTACTCCACCTAAAACAGCGATCAAGATCTTTATGGCGGCGAATTGCTATTTCCGCCGTGGTGAGAATCGGATGTCCGCATATCCGATTTGTCCCACTTTGCCGACTCATGCACACGATTTTCTCGGAACGCCTTGTCTTCTCGACGCTCGCGTCCCTCTGGGCATTTAGAGCGGAAAGTTGCTGCAAGCAATCAAAAGATAGATCGATTCCATTAGTTTGGACGGTGTAATTTCTCACATCATCAAGTTTGTTCGTAACCTGAAATATCCAACATATTTGAGGCCATAGCTGCTTAGTTGCTTGCATTAAGAGAAGAAGAAGACGAAGTCCGAGAGTGCGGAACGAACATTGGAAATTTTTTTTTTTTTCAGTATTTATTTTTTCACTTCAGATGTGGCGGTAGCGCATGAAACTCAGCGTTAAATGTTATTGAAAAAATGATTGTATGCAGAGCAGTTCCGACGGTTTAAACAAAAGGACTTACTGATCCAGCGTAATGACGTCGTTGTTGTTGGTGTGCGTTCGAGCAAGACGAATAGCAAGATCGTTGGCCTCGCTTCCAGAATTCACCAAAAAGCAAACGGACAACGGTTCCGGGAGAAACGACGCCAGCCGACTCGCGCACAACACCAAATTGTCGTGAAGAAACCGATTGTTCGTAGACAACAAGGCCATTTGTTCTTGTCCGGCTCGCACAACGTCAGGATGACAGTGACCAACTGCAAATATTGAAATTCATTAAAATTAATTATTCATTAAAATTTATTATAATATTATCTGATATAAGATGTGACGTAAAGAAATTGTGAAATCATACCGTGTGCAACGTTATTTATGCAGTCTAGATATCGATTGCCTTTCTCATCATACATGTATTGTTTTTCGGCTTTGACGATTTTTAGCGGATTTGACTTGTAAAACAACGTGCATGATTGCCTAAAATCAAAATAAATGACAAATTCTCTTTATTGTTTTTTTTTTTTTTTTACTCAAAGTTATATGCTCATTACTATATATTTTTAGCTCTAGAGTTTAAATGTTACTTACCCGATATAACGATCGCGAAGTCGTATAGTATCGGATTTTGGCAATTGCTCTAAAGACTCCGCCATAATAATACGTGTACAGTTGGAACTTTCAACACTGTCAATACATCAAATATAATTTATTTATCAAATTATTACTTTTTAATTATTTATATTATTTCTTTAATTTTTATATTCATACATATTTATACTACATATATGTACATATACATGGTGAGTTATATATAAAGTGTTACAAATTTATATCGGAAACACAGAAAAAGCAGAAAAATGTTTTAGACAAAGATGTTATATTAAAAATTTTGTGACTTCGAGAGGAACATAAGGTCTCTGATTGATGGTTTGACCTTGGATAATCATTTAAAGATTACATAAAGATCATCTTTAATTTCTTAAATAGAAACTCCTGCTAAACTGAGTTTTAAAAGTCTTTGAAATATTCTCAGACGCGAATATAATTTCAGCCGCTCTCTGTAGTTATTCTTTATAGTCTATATTTTCCCTCATTAACATATTATACACCTTTTCAAAAACATTTATTTGAAATAATATATTTAAAAAGAGATAATCCTCGAGTTCTTTAGAAATTAAAGTAAATTATTAGAATAATTTATTTTAAAAATACGTATTACAAATCATTAACAATGTTACATAAAATTTAACGATAACAATAATGCACAGAGCGATGAATATTTTTGTGATACAATTGTTAAGGCGCGCTATATATTTACTCACTTTCGAGCCGGCCGGCAGCAACGTATACCCCGTTTCGTACGTTATCGTTGTCGTTAAATTTTCTTTTAAAAAGATTTTTCCGTAAATCCGACGGGCAATCTCCGCGTGATACATCTGAGTGCTAATACCGGCTTTTTTTTTTAGCCTTATAACTCAAAAAGTAATTACTAAAAACTACTTTATAGTATAGTTTTGAAGAACTTTCGAAATGAGCTACAAGAATATGCACTAAAGAATGAGAAATGTTTCCACTTAAGAAACTAAAGATAATCCTTATTTGATCTTCAAGCGACTATCCGAGGTCAAACCAATAACATTATTTTATGTTCTTTTTTAAAAGTTACAAAATTTGTGTATAAAACATTTTTCTCTAAAAAATGCTTTGGTTTCGAAATATAAATTTGTAATACTTTATCCGACTTACTGTATATATCTATGTATACACTGTGTGTGTACATATAGATAAAGATTGTTGTCTCAAGATAAAGTATCTTTGTATATTTGTACATATCAAACTATAATTTAAATAACGCGTTTCTCAGGTTACTTTGAGACAAAAATCTCTTGATAAAATGTCGAGAGTGTAAGAGGTTTTTTTTTGAGTTATAAGCGTTTAAAATTGATCAGATGGCCAACAGTTCTTATTCCAATTGTTTAGAATTAAATTTAAAAAATTACTAAAATTTTACTTCTATTAAAACTTTTCCAAGTTTGCAGTTGAATAATGCAGCAATGAATAGCTTTGAATAAATCTTTGATATTGTGATAAGTGCCTGAACACAGTAATTTTCCAGTAGGATAATACGTTTGTTATATCAGCGTGATTATCACATGCAAGTAGTGTTCTTCAATATGCTTGAGTAGCGGGTTATATATATTGCGTAATCAACTACATTCTGACTGAAGTTATTTTAGCGTGACAAACAATTATTGCAATTGTTCTTTATATTAATAGTTCAAGATTTTGAAAAAAAAAAAAAAAAACGTTAACTCTTTTGAAAGAGAGATAACTAAAATATACTCGTATATCATATATTGCTAAACATATATAATAATACGTAAGATTTATTGTTAGATTTCAATCGTAATATTGTTATTTTTTTTTATTCAGTAAAAGACGTGACCTTTATACAAAGTTATATAATGTTAGTTATTTTTTTTAGAAATTTTGAGTAGTAATTAGTATTGTAAAACCAACCTTTATGTTAATCGTACCTGAACTTGTCGGTCGACGTCACGACTGCGTTTACGGTGAATTACTGCAAGCTCAAAGCAAAGTGAAGTGACCTATACTGGTGACGTCATATATAGAGAAGAGTATATCCGGCGGGGGTAGAAAAATACGTGAACGCGCACGCGTATCGGACCAACGGCTTTCCCTCTACAATCAACACACCCCACCTTTCATATATTTTTATCTATACGTTGATTGTTCACATTTCGATAGATTTTCTTTGCATGAGACAGAATTGCGCCATTACATATGCCGGCATTATTTGTTTCAAAAATAGAAACAACAACTAACTAAAAAAGTGTACAAATATAAAATAGTAAGTGTTCATGATGCGCGGGTGCCAACAACATGTGTGTATCGCTATTTTTAGGTGAAATAAAGTAGAGCGGCCTTGTGTGCGTTTGACATTGGCATCGTAAAAACAAGGTTTAGCAGAATGTATCGTCAACTTGTATTTACTTAGCTTAGAGATAGAATTAAAAAAAAACACTTGATCAGATAATAACAATTGCAAACAAACGTGTAATTAAAAAGAAATATATTGATTTCTGTGCGAGGTACATTTAGTTAGTTGCTAATTAAAATCTAGGAGATTTTCGTGATTTAGAAAATAATGTTCGCGTTCCTCTTTGTTAGAGCACATATGTAATTTCTGATTATATCATACAATTTGAGAAGATATTCTTCGTGTATGTTGTAGCGTATGAGCGTTATTGCTAAAGCCGCCGACAAACATCGTAGTTACGAAAGCAAATGTCCACGTGCAGAAAGCACGTTCTGACGATGATAACGATAAGCGTGACACGTGATACGTGTTATCGGGCAGTTTAGATGATAGTACTAATCTCGTGATACGCAACTGTCGTACCGCGTAACAGAAGTATTGTATTCGCGCGATCACAAATCTTCCATCGTCAACGCAGAGCTAAAAATTGTTGTATTAACAATTTAAAAAAAAAACATCCACAAGTCGTCTATTTTTATTCCGCTCATATCGTCTTTCTTAACAGTTCTCGAACGATAACAACAATTTTTCAAGTCATGTGTTTGTAAGATTCTAAAAGAAAGCGTTTTTTTTTTACCTATGATTTCCAGATCGGCTTATTTTAATCCGTTATAATTATTTCACATCTGTTCACTTTTAAGAAGTTTTATTTTATCATTATTATTATAAGGATATATTTATTTTTGTTATAAAGATATATTTTCATTTCGTGCAATCACACTTCGACAATTAGTGCTTTCTGCAACAACTAGCGCTTATGTAATAATTAAGATCATTCGCAGTGAGACATTTTGCAAAAAATGCCAAATATTTGTTGCGAGATATCGCAAGTAGGCGCCGTGCCAGTTGCCGGGGATTATTTTTGTCGTCTTGATATCGTCGTTGCATTGATGTCAAATCTTAAGCGGAGCGCAAATTGCAAATTGTTTTGAAGTATTTGATTGGTTGAGAGGCGCAGCGCCGATGTGTCGTGCTCTTATTTGTTAAATACTTGCGTCACACTACATATATATATATATACATATATACATACACATCTTTCATAAGATAATATTCTTCAAACGAGAGACTCTTGTATATCTCATTTGGTCAGCGCGTTTTCACAATTTATGATCTTCCAATAACTCGAGTCTTACAGATGTATTACATAATCGAATTTAGTTAAAAGTTTTTTATTTATTTAGGCACATGTATTTGTGCACTCTAGTATTAATCCAATATTCTCTACTTGTGTAATAAAATCAATATAAAAAAAAAGATAAAATTAATTCTCTCTTAAGATAAAATCGAGAAGTATGACCTCAAATTCATAACGTTAATCAAAAAATAATCAAAAAATAAGTGTACAAATTTGGCAAACCAAATGCAAGATATTATTGCAACGAGTATTTAAATAAATTAAATCATTTCAAGATGTTTTGACACCTTGTTTCAAAGTCATCTTTAATTGACGTACTTGGATGAACAGACAGACAGTCTTTAAACACACGGCAGTCTTTCAGTATATTTGTCAGAATATTTTTAGCGCTAAAGTTTCACTGTTTTGGAATTTTTATGAACTTGAAACAACATAAACGCTTGGCACTCATTAGAAACTTGTGTTTCGCAATTTGATCGATTAACAATTCTCCTGCGAATACAGCAAGGGATATCCCGTGACCTATGAGAATCAGACCAATAGCAACATAAGCGGACATGTCATTGGGAATCAATTCCTTCGTTTCGTTCGTGTTCGATGCTGTTCTTTTGTCGCTCCAAAACTCATCGATATGCTTCTTGACAAAACCATATTCCGTCAACGATAGCAACACTCGATCAACGTCGTCTTTGAAGGGCGATTTCACGGGAAGAGAATGCACGCGATAATGCGACAAGATGCACAGATCGGAGAGTGTGAATAATCGTTTACCCTGATGATTCGTGTGTGTGATTTCCAACAACTTGCCGTCTATCTCGGACAATAACAACGCCATCGATGTGTCCAGCTTGCCCTGATTGTCCACGAACGAATAAACAGGTTTGAATTTTTTTACGAGACCGGGCGGTAGTTCCTCGGACGCTTCTTTCAACTGTCTGTATACCAATGGCGAGACCAACACCCGTAGTTCCGTGTCGCACAGATCCTCGAACGTGGATACGCGTCTGGTGCGCGTGTATTCGATCGCAAACTCGAACAGCTCGCCCTGAAATAAAGTCGTGTACTCCGCCGCCGTTATCATCACCCCAATAAACAGGACCTTCTCCAGCAGGGTGCGGGGTTTGCTCAGAGGCGAGATGTTGAAGAACAAGCTGATGGTATTGAGAGGATCGCGAACTTGTTTGCTGACCTTCAGAATCACGGAGGCACACCACACGATAGCCGCCAGAAGAAGACCGATCGCAACCATGATGAAGATCTGCCAGAAGTCAAAATACAATCCGTTAACCGACAGTATCGGTGTAAGCAGACAGATTCGATCGTTGTCGATAGCGATAGTGTGCTCGTAGCCGGTGCTGTACAGATCAGTGTACACAAGCGCCAACGCGTTGTACGTCAGGTCGTTTTCTCGTCGGAAAGGTGTGTGCACCACCGTGGCGTTCATAGCGATCGATAAAGTGTCCGCGAACATCTTGGCCAAACCTTTCGCATCGCCTTTTGAGTTCAAAGAGCCGTAAGTTTGCGTATTTTCGAACGTTATTTTGAACTCGTTACCGTGCATGCCTCGCCACTTGCTCGGATACCAATCGATGGTGTCCGCGCGCTCGGTCAATCTCGAGTAGTCGTCGTGAAATCCATTGAAGCTGTGCAGAGCAACAAAAGCCGGTTCCGAATACTTCGAACGATAGGAAACTTCTAGGATAACCACGTTGAAGAATTTCTTGTCCCACAGGTACTTGAGCTGACGTCGCATCATCAATGTTCTTTCATCCGAACTGATGATAAGCAAGAGTTTCGGCATGTGCTTTGGATAAGATATCAATTTAACATCTTCCATCAGAACGTTCAATTCCGCATTAGTGATATCGGTATTCGACGTGTAAATGTAAATCAGCAAAGTACGGGAAGAAGCCATGTTTCGCGTTTTGTATGTGGTTTCCAAGTTGAACATTTGTATCGGTCACGTAGCAGACATAATTTGGGCAACGACATCGAGTATTGATCTGTCGTAAATGTCATATTTTTGAATGCTGATGATCACATCCTGAAATATGACCGATTGCAAAATCCTTTGGATTGATTGATCAACACGGATTTCTTGGTAAAAGTTTGAGCGGACAATACTGATTGCAGCAAACAAATACAAAACAGTACTCGCAATCTTCATTGTTTGATCAAGAGAATTTTTAATTTTTCTTCCGTTTTAAGATTAAATGATCTTAAAAATATTTTGATATCTTGAAAATTTGTTTAAATATCTTGATATAAAAACAAGGTGCGCTGTTGATGTTTACAGATACACATGTATTTAAGAAATACATTAAAAGTCGAAGAACATTCGAAGTTTACGGACAACATAGTGCGTAGTTGCGCACTATCTTCACATAAAATATGACCCTAATGACAATAAACTTCTAATTGCTGATTTTATCTATAATAATATAGACACATAAATATTTACACACGATATCATTCTATATTCTTATTTTTCGCTTGTTAGCGATTGATTAATCGACCATTTATATATAAATCGATTCGCATATCAGTTATCTTAACGTGAAAAAAAACGCAGATATTTCGCGATAACATAGCAAACGCGGCACATTTACGACGTAATGATAAATCAAAATTTTTTTTACACACAGCGAAAAATCGATTACAAAATAAACTAGTAACACGTGTACTGTAAATTGTATTCTACAAAAAAAGTATATTACTAGATATTTATATGAATTTCACAGCTAATCGATATAGTTCTTCGTATAATAATGCATATAGTACATTATTCTTAATAAAAAATATTAAAAAAATTAATTTATATGCGTTTAAATAATTAACATATACAGCCAAAAACATAAAAAAAAAATAAATGCCCCTTCGCAGTCGGTAGGACTCGAACCTACGCTCCCAGAGGGAATCTGATTTCTAGTCAGACGCCTTAACCACTCGGCCACGACTGCTACGAACTCGGTCTCTCCCACTTCGAGGTTTTTACATAAACGACATACATAGTTTTTGCAAAATACATTAATTTAATTATATTTCTTGTTGGTCTTTGACAAAATCCCGTAATTATTATTATTATTATTATTATTCATAATATTATATTATTATATTAGTATTCATAATAAATCTAATTATGTATTTAATATTGTTTTGTATATACAAGGTGAGTCTGATAAAACGTTTCAACATATTTTTCTCAAAAATAGTTTGAGATGAGAGAAGACATTCATTATCAAAAATATAGAACATGAAGGAAAACATATTATAGAAGAATGTCTTACCATTTGAGAAAACATGATAGAAAAAATAAAAAATATTGTTTGCAAAATAAGACTTTGCATTCAAGACTTAGAAAAAATCCAAGCAATCTTTTCACGAAGACTGCAAACATGTCTGGAATAACATAGTAAACATTTTGAGTAC